AAAGGAAAGGAAAGGAAAGGAAAGGAAAGGAAAGGAAAGGAAAGGAAGAGCAAGGACCTGACTGATTACTGTTCAAGATTACATGTTGAAAAAAAATGAACGTTGATAGGGTTATCCAATATGATATTATTTAATGGTTTTAATGATACAATATTCCTTTTAAATGATTTTACATTTCTCCCTCTTTTGGTTTTAGTAGTAGTAGTAGTAGTAGTAGTAAGCATATACATCAGTTTCTACATGCTTAGCAAGGACATACAAGTTCCAAATCAAGCAACAACATTGTATTCTTTAAATTATTATTTATGGCTATAGAATAAGCTGTCCTTATTATAAAGTGAGCTTATTTGGTATTCACATACCTATTTATTTCACAAACCGTTTAAGTGCATGGCTCAAAATCTCTCATGGGAAAAATACCGATACAGCTTTTGTAATTTGTTCTGTTTCCAGTGTAATGTATTTTGTGGGTTAGGATTTTTAACACAATTGAAATAGGCAAAATATTCATTTCTACAAGAACACCAACTACTGTAACACCCATTGATCCTGTGAACTAACACTGTTACTGAATATTGGGGATCCACTGACATTGCTTACAGTTAGGTTGGTGCAACTTAGCAGCATCCACCAGGGTGGTCAAAACAGGAACAATGCCAGTTGGGGCACTCCAATCCAATCCTTTGGGATGTATGTTGATTTACACAAATATACAAAAGGGCAGAGCTTCAGTTGTGTTTCAAAACAACCATCTTGCCTGTTTTGAGCTGCAGTTGCCAGTGATTCAATTTCTCTTGGAAATATAAGCACATCTGTAACATCTCTACCAGCATGGGGATAATTGTAAAAATATACTGTACAGTTCAATAAATGTTTCATTTTTATTTTATGAACGTGTAAATTTTTATCACTGAAATAAATTAAAAGTTTACTAGAGATTCCCTGAGCGTGCACCGGTATGTTGCATGTGGTTCCATTTTAGTGGAATGTCGGTAAAATCTAGGTTACTGTTTAGACTGGAGATTCGGTGTGCATAAACCCATGTGAGCACATTTGGGGTGGAAGTGGACTTTGGTTACACTTGTGGCCTATTGCCCCAAATGGGGCAAACTTATCAGTACTGTTCATACCATTATTAGGAAATGATGCAAATACGAAGGGCATGACTGAGGCTATAATTTATCCTTTATTAATATTTGAAAATCTTGGGCAACCAAGATTGTGGGATGGGTCCACAAATCTATGACCCAATTATGTGAAGAACATGCCTTTTCAGCTAGGGTTCAGATGTGAAACATAGACTGAAACAGCACTGGACATTTGGGTATGTATCTTTATTAAGATGTGGGTGATCAAAAACAATCTTCCTCTTCCTATTACACCCAGGGGTGAGCTTTAAAAATTTTAGAAACTAGTTCTCTGCCTGGTTGCTGGGTAGCCGTGGCCATGGTGTGTGTGTTGCCTAGTCAGCCTCCTGCACCATGGTGGGGGGCATTTTCACCTTCCCCGGGCTCCAGAGGTTTTTCTGGAGCCTCCGGGAGGGCAAAAACAGCTCCCCGGGCTCTGGAGGCCCTCTGGAGGCTGGAAACAGGCCTCCCCAAGCTTCCTCATGGGCCCTGCACTTACAAAATGGGCTGCGTGGTGGCTCCTGGGAGGGGTGGGATGGGGCGGGGTGGGCGGGGTGGGCAGGGCAGGACCAGCCAGGGGTGGGATTTGCCGGTTCACCGAACTGGCCATAAAACAACCATAAAATTAGCTACTGGTTCACCCAAATCGGGGAGAACCGGTAGCAGCCTACCCCTGCTTACACTTCTTGGCTGTGTTCAGAACCATTGGCCATGCTGTTGTCCTGGTGAAGGATGGGACGAGAGATATTCTTTTGCTCCTTCCTGATCGGACAGTTGTAGCCATCATTTATTAAGGAGCAGCAGTTCAGACCTTGACTCCTTGAGTGCTCTCCCGAAGCTAATTAAATTCTACATGGGTTCTTGCATTGGGAGAAGTCATTATCTGGTTTCTAGAGAAGTTGTGAGGGACTAGATGGAACACAGCTAAATCGGGAGCCTCCAGCAAAGTTAATGGAATGAAAAACCAAATTAAAAAAAAAAAAGATATGGAATGAACTCAAAGAGATACAACGCATGGAAATGATAGTGGGATGACATTCCTCTGAACGCTGCAAAATGCTTGTGGCCAAAAAGGAAAAAAAAAAGTGGATGAAAAGTAAAGCAGAAATGCTGTGAAAAATTTTGAAAAATGACCAGGCTACAAGTAAAGATGGAAAACATTAAAATACAGATGTGGTTTGCTTAGCAACTTTAAGACTATGCTGTCTGGAGAATTCTGGGATTTGAAGTCCACAATTCTTAAACTTGCCAAGTTTGGAGACCTCTGGCTTACAGAATGGCAGTGCAACTCGTTTCAAGTGCGTACAAAGGTAGCTTCTGTTCCTGACAACTGGAAGGAAGTTGTAACTCGTCTCCTATACAAAATGAGGGTAACTTGTGTAAATGTCACAACTACAGGGGAAATTAGTTTGTTGACTTGCCAAGTGTGCCTGGAAATGTGTTTAGCAGAATTCTGTCCATATAGGTGACCGTGAGCAAAATCTGGGAAACCATGATGGATTGGTTTTTCTCTTCCACAGGACCCTGTGAATTGTATAGATGTGACAAGCGTTGTACTTTTGTTGATTTATAGAATATGTGTGATAAAGTTGAGCAGGCTTAAACTATGGAATGTTTTATGCAAATATGGAGTTGAAGGTTGAATGCATTAAGAGCATTATGTGCTGGAAGTAAAGGATGTATGACAATAAACAGGATGCTTAGCAAACGTGCAGCACTGAGTAAGGATTAAGGCAAGGATATACAGTATAATGTTCCCATGGTTTAAATGTATTTCAAATGTATTTGTGGGTAAATAAATGCTTGCATTAATGGTAGAAATGTGTTCATTGGGGATGGGAATATTTGTGTACTTATGTATACAACATGATACAGTGTTGTTGACTGATATTTTCAACATTAGGCTGTGGGGTGGCTCTGAAAACACTTAGGTCTGAGATCATGGTGGTTGTTTTCCACAGAGAATACAGAGTGAAGAATTGTAGGTTTTGTGATGAACGGCAAAATAAAAATAAAAAATCCTGAGCAAGTAGATTTCATTAAAGACATGATGGAAAATTAAAAAAAATTAAGATGTATAAATGCTGGTAGAAAGATAATAAGCGGAAGAACATGTATCAAAAAAAGTTAAATTCATTACATGAAAGAATGTGGTTTTGCTTATTCAGTTACATGGACATGATAGTAAATACAGCTAGCCCTTGACTTATGATCACAATTGAGCCCGAAATTTATGTTTATTGTTTTTGCCTCATTTTACGACCTTTCTTGCCACCGTTGTTAAATGAAGCATTGCAGCTGTTAAGTTAGTAACCTGGTTGTTAAGTGAATCTGGCTTCCCCATTGACGTTGCTTGTCAGAAGATTGCAAAAGCTGATGGCCTGACCCTGAGATACTGCAGCCTGCATAAATATGAACCAGTTACCAAGTATCTGAATTTTGATTATGTAACCATGGGGGTGCTGCAATGATCTTAAGTGTGAAAAATGGTCATAAGTCACTTTTTTCAGTGCTGTTGTAACTTTGAACCATCACCAAAGGGATTGTTGTAAGTCGAGGACTTCCTGTATGTTAGGAACAACGTAAGAAGGAGGCAGATACAATGGCCATGGCAGCCTAACGAAGGTGTGTGCTAAAGAAGGGGTAGGGTTAGAAATTAATGAGTCCTGAATGAGTGTGCACTGAATATAAAAATGAATTGCCACTGAAGAAGACATAGGCTGTGGAGAGAACATAGGAACACAAAACAAATAGAGATGAAGAAGGGGAGACTAGAGGAAAAAGAAAGGGGAAAGGGTAGACAGAGGAAGTCAGATCATGGAACTGATGAAATCCTCAAAAAGAGAGAGAGGTAAGAATTTGAAAGAACAAAAAAGCAATGTCCGATTCAGTGCATGGATGTGATGGAAGTAAATATGATTTTCCAGGGAGGAAGATATTAAAATGTATTGAGAATGCTACTGATGTAAATAGTAATATTTTGTTTATTTTCTTATGTCATTATCATGCCTTTCTTTGGCTCACAATTTCTTATCCAGTTTCTAATACTTTAAATAATGCTGCCTATCCAAAAGGGAATAGGTGATAGAAATGTGTGTATGTCTGCTATTGGTTTTACTTCAAAGTCTATGGAGTCAACTATCCTTTTTTTATCCACTCAAATATTTCTGATTTCATCCGAAACGTGTGCTACAGTTTGATCACCATTTGACCTTCACTGTTCAACAGATTTGACAATCGCTAAAACTTACTTCATCTGCGGAATTTGTAATTATGTTTATTAAAAAAAAACATATTTAACATAACTTTAAAGGTCATTTTTGTTAAGCATCTGGCCAAAGAAATAAAAGATAATTAGAATTCATATATTGGATTTATTCCATTTTAAAAAATGTTAACAATGGGGCAATTTTAACCACACCTAATAAAATAAGCTTTATTAAGCCCCATAGGTTGTAATTTGAAGAAACATGTTTATAGTTATATGGATAGCCCATTACTTAGCATGCATAATCAATATCAGAAAGAGGGGAATCAATCATAAATTACATGAGCTTGGGGAGACACCTATTTATCTATAGATATACATACACATAAATATATATATATAAATGTGTACTACTTACATGTGTCAGGCTTGAGATGACTGTTTGTAATTCCAAAATATTGAGGATTTTCAATTACAGGAATCTTCGTCATTCCAATAATTACTGCATCTGGGCCTCCCTCAGAAGAAGACGGCGTGTTGCTTCCATTAGAGATGTGATGAAGGGGACTTGCCGAATCGTCGTCATTGCTGATAACTGAAGAAGGGCCTAAAGTTAGAAACAAAGATTCCCCTGTAACTTGGCTTAGTTCTTCCCTCCCTCTGCTCTCTCCTTGGCCCTCAAGAGCCCAACACACTCAGAAGTGACCCTCCATGACCTTATCTTCAGCATCACCAAGGTGGCTGTCAAAGGAACTGAGAGCACTTCTGCACAGCCGTTGGCCTCCCCTTTCAAATTTTGGGAGCAGGTTTGTCCCACCTCAGTCGTGTCCCACAGAGCCACCCAGTACTCTTTCCAGAGCTAGTGGAAAAAGAGCAAAATAAAAAAAAATAGCCACCAATTATTAAGCAGACCCCAAGCTCCTTATTCCCTCACCATGTTTTGGCACTGAAGAAAAAAATAAGAAACTAATTAGCCATTGAGGTGGAGCAATAAAACAATCATGACTGGGGAGGACAGGGGTGTGTGTGTGTGTGTGTGTGTGTGAAGATAGAAAAAAAGAAGCTACAAAAACCGTACACAGGTGGTAAATAATAACAGAAAGGAAAAGAATAGTATCAGCAATCTAAGCCAATTTCATATATATCATATCTTTAAAAAAATCTAATTTAAAGACAAAAAAAAACCAATATTCTTGACTTATGACCACAACTGAGCCCAAAATTTATGTGGCTAAGTGAGATGGCTGTAAAGTGAGTTTTGCCCCATTTAATGACCTTTCTTGCCACAATTGTTAAGTGAATCACTGCAGTTGTTAAATTAAGAACACAGTTGTTAAGTAAATCTGGCTGCCCCATTGACTTTTCTTGTCAGAAGGTCGCAAAAGGGGATCACGTGGCCCTGGGACACTACAACCATCATAAATATGAGCCAGTTGCCAAGCATCTGATTTTTGATCACATGTTCATGAAGATGCTGCAGTGGTCTTGTGAAAAATGATTATAAGCCACTTTTTCAGTGCTGTTCTAATTCTGAACAGTCACTAAACAAATGTTTGCAAGTCGAGGATTACCTCTACTCTATTGTTGTAAAATATTTTGAAGACTGTACCAAAAGGAAACATATTACATGCTGGATTCACATTTCCTGAATCCACATGGATTCACACATCTCCTTAATCCAATCCTTTATATCTGGAATAATACTTTTGTTATTGTTGTCAACATCATCATCGCCATCACTACTTTAGTAAGTTTCAGGATATAAGTTTCATAAGGTCAGAGCTGGATGGTGAAATGGCTCACACTCTTGTTATGGAAGGGAGGATGGAAAAGCCAGCAGCCATGGAGCAGGATGAGGTAGGAGTGCTCACCAGTGGAAAATTCCCTGTATTGGACTTCCATCAAATACATTACAAAAGTGCTTTCACAATATTTTGTTTTGAACTGGGCTGGTTGTTAATTGTCTCTCATTCCCAAGACCCAAGCATAGAGTACCATATGATGGCAAATCAATATAGTTCTTGTGTTAGAAGATCCTTCAAATATTCAAATTGTCCTGATTGATTCATGTCTCCATACTTTCTGACAAGGATCTTTCCCAGTCCTACTAGCAAAGTAAAGCTAAAGGACCTCCTGCAGATTTTATTCCGCTAGTCATTGTCAACTGGGGGGGGGGGGGGGGGGGGGGGTTTCTCATCTCCATTTCAAGGCCATTGAGCCAGCACTGTCCAAAGAGATTTCCACAGTCGTGTGGCCAGCTTGACATCACAGAGCACTGTTACCTTCCCACCGAAGGGATATCTCTTTATCTACTCACATCTGCATGTTTTTGAACTGCTAGGTTGGCAGAAACTGAGGCTAGGATGGGAGTTTACACAGTCATGTGGTGCTTAGGTCTCAAACCTGGACTTCTGGCTTTCCAGCCAACGAGCCCAACATCTTAACTGCTGAGCCACACCATGCTGCTCAATTGACAAGGTGGGACTTTCTAAATGGAAACATGTACTTTCCCTGAAACAGTTCTTTTCTATTTTTAGGTGTTGATGATAACACACCAAGCTGACAACAACGGGTACTTATACTCATAATTAAACCCCTGTACCACTTTTCCTCATGTGACTATTGTACAATAAGATAGACCAGGGATGTCCAACATTACCAACTTTAAAATTTGTGGACCTCAGCTCCTAGAGTTCCCCAGCCAGCATGAACTCTGGGAGTTAAAATTCACTCGTCTTAAAAGTGGCCTAAGTTGGACACCCCGATGTAGGCTGTGAACTATCTGAAGTGGAACATATTGCAGAAAAATAGGAGACCAACATCTCAAAGTACAAGAATGGACTGAATACGAAAAGGATGTTAGCTTTTTTTCTCCCTGTCCCTACAGGCTCACAAATTCCCACAGGAATTTCTTCAGCCCTTCAAAGTTTTGGGACTGCAGGGTGAATGTGGAATTTGTTTCTTGGATACCACTGGCTTTCTCCCAAATTTTGAGTAAGCATAAAGAAAAATAGCAGGCACGCACATGCAACATATACATATACAGACAAATTACACGGGAGACAGAATAATTATTTAAATTAAAATATATAGCTAAATAAAAATGTCTCAAACAGGTGCTGAAAGTTGGTACAACATAGAAAGACATTCCAAAGCTGAAACAGCATCATTGGGAAAAAATATTTTGCTTTGTGAAAACATATTGCACTTTCTATGGGAAGACTTCTTGAAAGAATCCCTCAGCCAAAAGTCTTGTTCTCCTTAAGGTCAGCAAAATCTTCTATGTCTTTCCCCAAGATTCATTCTATATGAGACCACTAATAATGTATTTCTAAGACTTTCCATAAGAGGAGGAATGCTTATTTATTTAACTCAGTACATTGCAAAAATGAGGGCTTCTTGAAGACTTAAAATAAAACATAGTAGTAGAATTTTAAATGTCATTAATATCAGAACAGAAAATCAACGTTGAGTTATAATTTTCAGATCTAAACATTCAATGCTTCCCGATCACAATAATCCAGATGTAATCCTCATTAAACCCATTAAATTAAGACCCTTTCTCATATCACAAAGCCTTTATTCATGTTAATACCATAGTTTCTATAAATATTCAAGGATTAATTATGCTCAGGAAAAGAAAAAAATGCTCCTAAATAATTTAAACCCTCTAGGAAAAGCTGTGCACTGGGCATTCTGCATCTCAGTGCCAATAATACATAACATAATAATACAATACATAGGATGGAGGGGGAGAATCAAAGAAATTGAAATTATTTTTTCCTATGTTATCTTGTCTTCAAGTAATTTTTGACACTGAAACTAGATATTTTCAAAGTTGCAATGACACTGGCCTCCCCGACGTATGTGGCATCTCTGATACACACCCACACATCCTTTACAGCCCACACGGCACCACACACCACATACCATTCCTGACTCATAGCACCACACATCTCCTTGGTCCCTTTCCCATCTGTTAGCAACCACTTATCTGCCTGCTGGCCTTGGACTTGCAACTTCCTGCTCACTACCCCACTGCCTTTCTCCTTGCAAGCTTCCCACAAGTGAAAGAAGGATTTCTGATGCTTCCTGCCAGTGTCCTATAAAGAAACTCAATGGGGAAGCCACCAGGAAGTCAGGAGTCGCTCTCACTCCCTCTGCTTTTTTGCCTAACCTTGGTAATTCTGTTTCTCTGTTTAGGTAAGGAATTGATGACCCAATAGGGATCAGGTTTTCTAGTGTCATGCTAAAGGCCAGGTTGAAATTAAATTCAGCTTCTGATGATTTCATACCATATAACTTTTTTGGCAATATTATAGAACCCACTCTATGTTCATCTCTTCCAGGATTTTATTTTTTAAATTTGCCAATCAAGCTATTAACCTGAAGTTTTCTGCTGGTCTTATCTATTGCCAAGTACTAATCAGATCTGACTCTACTTATCTTCCACAACAAGGGTGGGCAGTTGCTGCTATTTTAAGATAATGATTGTAGCTCAGTAAAACAAAATTATATAATAAAAATAACCCCACTGTCTTTCTCCTTGCAAGCTTTCCACAAGTGAAAGAAGGATTTCTGATGCTTCCTGCCAGTGTCCTATAAAGAAACTCAATGGGGAAGCCACCAGGAAGTCAGGAGTCGCTCTCACTCCCTCTGCTTTTTTGCCTAACCTTGGTAATTCTGTTTCTCTGTTTAGGTAAGGAATTGATGACCCAATAGGGATCAGATTTTCTAGTGTCATGCTAAAGGCCAGGTTGAAATTAAATTCAGCTTCTTTAAAAGATACTTTATTTGCTCAATCTCATCATGCCTTCACTGGATAGAATTATAAGTTAGGCATTGAGGCAAGACATAAAATAAATCCAGTAAAGCATGTGGATAATCATGTGCAAAATTATCAACTCTATCTGAATAATTGCACCTTGCAGCTTATATATCATCCCTTTCTTAATGGTTTTCTGCAGGAATCCTTTGGGATAGTTGATCAAAGAGTGAGGGACTAACCAAAAGTCACACAGTGAGCTTCCATAGCCAAGGAAAGGGCCACCACCTTGATTCCTACATCAGATTGGGCAAGGAAACCAAAATGACTACCTCCGTCACCATTAGTGGTTACTATTACATTGTTATCATATCTATTGACCAGTACTTGTTTGATTTCTATATCATGTATCTTGTGTCCTGTATTCTTAAAAAAGTATGAATGGACATTTATCAAAGATGGAATACATTAAACTCAACCAAAGTAGGTCACAGAGGAGTTAAAATTTAACCTTTTAGATTTGAGCTAATGGAACATGTAGAAACTATCAGAATAAAGTTCTCCTACTTAACAGCAGGCAGTTCTCAATGTAACAGTGGTACTTAAAACAAGAATGAGTTCCCATGTGAACTGAGTAAGTGGAAAACACTTATTGGGACTGGCCAATGTTGCCAGAAGTTATAAACATGGGTGACAACTGTAGAGATTTAGAGCCATCACAGAGAGTGAATTATTCTGGAATTCAGACCTAGCCAGATTTGATAGTCATTGAGTTGGAAATGTATGTGTGTTTGAGAAAAAGAGAGAACTACAGAAGTTTGTACTTCAGAAAGAGAACAAAA